TCTGCCTGTCCGTTGTATCAGACTCGTAAGTAGCAAATTATTTTCAATTATAACTCGAAAACTAAGCTTCGAACAAAATTTTGTAAGAGGAAAAATCGTCTCAGAATTCACTCAAGAATATGACATTGCAAAGACATCAGGTTATTTTGAATCACCCTGTATATCAAATTTCTTGAAAATAAAAAAAAATGAAAAAGCAGAATCGACTAATATTTTTGAAGAAATTAATAACCAAATTACATTCACAAAAATGTAAAGATTTTTAGCAAATCCAAAGCAACTCAAGTATAATTATTTTCCATATAAATCCATCTTAGTTCGTAAACGACATTTCCAATACTTATCGAAGCATTCACATTCAGCCGAGATGTTTCACGAATGATTTCACTTTGAATAATATCAAGCACAAGCGGCGAATTCACAGTTAAATTGAAACTTGGTGATGTTCATCATCAAAATCAAAACAAACTTCTCGCATCGATCGGTTTCACGTCCCCTTTAATATCGGAGCGCGATATTACGTCTCTCGTGGTTCTCGCATCCTCAAAGCGACAGCATTTAAAAGCTCGCAACAATCTCTCTATCTCTTTCTCTCTCACTTTCAACTGATATAGCTTTGCACGTGAAAATAGCGTCAGGAAGTCGTGCTTCTAATTTTGACGTGTAATCCGCGGAGTAGAGCGTAGTCGCTCGTTCGTCCACGAGCCAAGTAAACAAGGTTAGTAATAGATCATATAATCTAGTAATAGATCATCCAGCAATGCATCATGTATTATATTCTATATAGTCAAAACGTCGATAACGTCGTATTGTGTATAGAATAATTTTTTATTTTTGATTTTACAATTGATCTATTTAAAATCTCTATATAAAATAATAGAATAATTTTATAATAAATTTATATAAACTTGATATACATATATATATAAAGCAGATTCTTATTCACATTGAATTAAATTAATTTTACAATTTAATTCTTCTTCTTCTAATTTTTCGAGTAAGAATGTAAAATCGAAAACGTGTACAAGTGTAAAATTACACAATGCCCCTAATTGTAGAGAAACTCCTATACAAAAATCTTTTAAATTTTTACTCGGTTTTTTGCAATGTTCGATATTCGCAGTGAAGAGCTCTTGAATTCCCTCTTTTTTTAAATCAAAAAACGAATAAACATAGAAGCTTAAATACCAATATTTAAATGAATCAAAACATATTGCAATATGAAGAGGGAAATATTTCGAAATACATATTTGCGACGATTTTGCCACGAGATTTTCGTTATTCAACAGCTGTCTCTCTCATCCCCTCATACGCGTCTGTCAAGAGTTCATATTCGTTTGTAAAAGTTAAAATTGGCAAGATACATAAATATCAAACGAAAACATTTGACACCTGTGGCGAACGCTCGATCGACACTTCGCGCCTCATCTGACCGGAAAAATATTATTTTACGAGCAAGATGTAAAAACATATCGATTACTCCTCGTGATATCTTTCTATGCGAAGGAAATGGCGACTATATATAGCGGCCAGGTTACAGGCAATCTAGTTGCAGCAAATTGCAATTAATTTATACGTGTAATGCGTGTATGTGCCATGAATGTGAATCACGGTAGACATTGTCTCACGCCGCAAATCGAGAGATGGTTTCACGACCCGCAATCGCTACAGATAATTTTGATATTGATAGAATATTGTGTACCGTTTGTGTGCTACATTCCACATACACTTTAAACAGCGAAACCCGAAAAAGCTCGTGTTCTTTAAATAACATTTCAAGCGAATTTTATTTTAGAACCTTTATTTTATTAGATACGATTTCTCGAGATTTTATTATACATTTAATCCATTGAGATATGTGTCACTGTTTTATTGTTTTATCTTTAAAATAATTACCTTCAGATATTTTTATCTTAAGATAATTATTTTTATGCCGAAAACAAATAGAAATATTCTATTTATTTCAGAACCTTAAAATCTGAAGTTCAGTTCAAAGAACATACGACATTAAAAAAATTAGAAATTCGATCAAACTTTATCTCATTTCGCCTCTTTCAACATTCATCTTCAAGTATCCCCACAACCAGCACCATTAAAAGTTTATTCGAGCGAAATTTCACGCGAATCCAAGTGCCGACGATAGTTTTTAAAGCCCCTTGGAAGTTGGCTTCGGAATTGCTAACTCTTATTAAGGACCGTAATTACAATGCAAAGAATTTACAGTCATTAAACCACGATCGCAGTTTTATTTCCTC